GGTAATATTTTTGTTTTGTCAAAAATCTATTTCTGGTAATAATTTTTTCCTCAAAAATGTATAGCTGGTAATATTATTTTAAAAAATGTATTGCTGGTAATATTTTTTTTTTTTTTCAAAATTTTATTTCTGGTAATAATTTTTTACAAAGTATTTCTGGTATTAAAACCTACTTTTACACTTTCATAATGCTTTTTACCTCAGTTTTATGATTAACTATTTGCCCATAGCTGGGACCCTAACAGGTGCTACCACGCTGGGTCAGGGTGGACCTGGGAACACCAGCAATTAAGAGGTGGTTCCACACTCCTCAAAACCTCCTGATCAGAGGCCTTGCTGTTGAACGTAGTTTATTGTCCTACTTGGATGAGGATGTAGCTTATCATCATACCCAGGACGGATTTGCTGTGTTTAAGCTGATAGCTTTTACAGTCAATGAGAATGTGCTTGACCATCAATCTTTGATTGCAATGTGTGCATTGAGGTACATCCTCAATCATCCCACAAAAATGAATTTTACACCACAGGATTTTTTTTTCTCTTTTACTTTGGATACAAATTGTCTTGTTCCCATAACAAACATCAGGGTCATCCCAACTTAGTACAGTGGAAAGGTACTACATAGGAAACATACCCCAAGTTACTTTCTTTAGTCAATTATTACTGGCTTCCAACTCCAAAGAATTATAAAACCTGCTTATAAGAAAAAGGAATCAGAGCAGAACTGATAAATAATAAAAATAGAATATCACCATCATCATCTGATAACAGTGACAGCAAGATAACCTATCTGGAAATACCGATATTAAACAAGTTCAGATGATAACTGATAGATTTACATACAAACGTGTGTGTGTTAATTAAAATCAAACATGGATTAGAATCTGACAGAATGATAGAATAAGGAACAAATAGAAAACGTTTATAAATTTAACATGTTTTGATTTTACTTGAGCTTCATCAAGAATGAAATATGGAAGAGAAAAGAAAATTCTGGTATTTTTTGTGTGTTTTTTTTTCCATTGGTTAAGAAGGTCTTATAACGCATTTGACCTGCCAAGCATCATTTATGTGTATAATTCTTCTGTGTTTGTGTATCACAATTCTAGTTGGTGTAGGTGGAATCTGGTTAATAATATATATGCGTGTGTGTCTAGTGGGCATTTTTATTTATGTCTGGTTTATTTATTTATGATGAAGCTTAAATAAAAGTGAAACAAACATTGTATAGTAACTGTTTCATGCTTCAATGCAACATTTAGAGAAAGTCTAAAGATCACACTGAGACACAAAACTAATAGGAATCAACACTGTATAGTGACTATCAGTTTCTCAGCTCAGTGCAATTTTCAGACAGTCTAAAGGTTGTATTGAAGGATGAAACTGACAGTCACCATGCAGTTTTGATTCCTCTGTGTGTGTGTGTGTGTGTGTGTGTGTGTGTGTGTGTGTGTGTGTGTGTGTATATATATATATATATATATATAAAATTGTGTATTTAGGCAGCAATCCTTCATTTATGCAGGTTTCATTAAAGACGACAGACAAGGTACTACAGTTAAGCTTTTTATTTAATTTTTCTTTTGTTTGAACAAGTGTTTTCTTTTTTCAACACAGAGTTTGTAGAAACAGTCCAAATGTTCTATAATTCCAAGCACTTTTGGTTATACTTTTAGCCATTATCAAAGATGATTTTTTTCAGTTTAATTGAAGTGCGTTACGTGCATATTTTTAGTGTGTTATAGAGATGTTTTATTTTCTGAACACAGCACATTGTAGCCGAGTTAATATTGTTAAGAGTTGGCTTTTTCTTTTTTTATTATTAGGTATTATTATTAGGGCTTCCATTATTTTTAATCTGTTTTTACAAGTGGATGATGTTATTGTGTTTGTGCTTTCTACTAGTATGTTTCAAATGGAGTCTGGTAGGTTTGTGTGCATGTTTAAATGGGTTCTAATAGAGCTCTGGTCAGAGAGGTGCAATGTAAGGATAGGCATGTAGTTGTGTGACCGATGTAATTATTTATGAGTCCAGTTTCTACACATTCTGTGTCCAAAAAAGAAAGCTCTTGTTCAAACACAAGAAAAATTATATAAAAAGCTTAACCATAGTACCTTGTCTGTCATTTTTTAGTTACTTGACCAATTCTTTCTTCCAAGTGCAAGGATTTTCTGCCTCCCTTTCATATTAATTCAGTTATATATAAATTTAAATGTGGTTGCGGATGTGACTACATAGGCAGAACGTCTCAGCGTTTGGATTTTAGAATTAAACAACATTTACCCCCCAGAATTTTAAATCCGTCCGCTAACAAAAGCCAACTAGTGAATACATCCGGGTCATCTATAGCGGAACACGCTATAACTAGCAGGGAATGTGTTGTTGGTTTGAGTGTTGACCGTTTTTTCCATTCTGGCGAAGTCACACTCTGCATATCATTTGAAGGTTCTTGAGTCCATTTACATCAAGTCCAGAGGCCGTTTTCTCTGTAAGCAGAGAGATTGCTTGTTGGGCTTGAATGTGATTGGGCTCTAGTTCTTTCTATCATATATAAAAAAAATTTTTTTTTTCCCTTTCATCCTCATTGAATGTTTTTTTGTTTTTAAGTTTATGATTAAATAATCCCAGAGTATCAAACTTGAGGAGTACTGGAACGAAACCGGTTGTTTGTTTTAGTTCTTAGTTTTCATAATTATGTCCTTTACATTCCACTTATTCCTTGCCATAATAAAATTTTGTACCTGAAAGAATCTTTTCAAATATATATATATATATATATATTACATTACATAACAGAGAAAATAAAATTGCAACAACATTAAGAACAATGCCAATTATGACTTGGGTTTAGCGTGCTAGTATTAGATATTCGGATACAATTTTCAAATACTTTGGCAATCTTGTGATGGAGTAACATTCATTCCAGTGCACAGTCTATATTAGAGCTGCAATAAGGGAAAGATTCCAGTGCAAGCAAGGTTCATGCCATGGAGATGCATACATGCTCCATTAAAGCTGTTTGAGAGTGGTCAAATTGTTGATGTGAGAGTCTGGATGTTCATTTTAAAGAATTGCTGTGGATGCTGAACAAAACCTTTTGGCAATGTGCACAGTGTCCACAACACAGATAAAAGAAAATATGATGCCAGAAATATCAATACAGACCATTGAGAATCATTTACTTGCAGCAGAACAACAGGCACACATGCCTTTGGCCTAAATCCACAAGCTCATCATGCACATCTTGATTGGTATTAAATGTGTCACCTGGTGGATTAAGACATTTTGTCACCTTCAGTGATTAGAGCAGGTTCAGCTGTCATGCAAGTGGTGTTTATTTACACATGTGACAGACTTTATTAGTGACATCTTCAAGAATATTTGCTCACAAGGCACAGGCATGATGTTGGTCTGATCTATTTTTCCACCTATTCTGTTACCATTTGTGTAAGAGGAAGGCAGTATACTATTCCAGCAGAATAATGCCCACCACACATGATGCCTGTGCTACTCAACATGCTCTGCAAAATGTTCAACAACATTCCTGGCTGGCATTACGGCTAGACCAGCCCTCCATTGAACACGTATGGAACATGATGAAACAACACCTGGCATATTCAGTAAGCCCACTTACAACAATGGTTGTGTTGTACCAAAATGTGCAAGAAATGTGGAATAATATATTGCAGGATGGTATTTACCATCTGTATGATCATATTCATATACATTCAAGTGCACAGGCCTGTGTTAATCCCCAAGCAGGATATATATATATATATATATATATATATATATATATATATATATATGCAGCAATTTTTCATTGATGCATGTTTCATTAAATAATATAGCCAAGTTTTGTCTATTTATTTTAAATAAGTTCCTTTCATATTGTCTGATAAGCTTAATAACATTATCATTGAAGGATGAAAGGAAATCACCATATTGATACATGTTTAAATCCAATTTAAGCTTTTTGCCATTATCAAAGATGAAAATTGCTTTTCAATATATCAACCAATACAGGAACAATAATGATAGTCTGTTTTTGTTGCATGCAAAATTTCAAAGAAATGACTGACTAGTGTATACGAGACACGGAAGTGAAATGATAATGTTATTAAGCTTATCAGACAATATGAAAGGAACTTAAAATAAATAGACAAAACTTGTCTATATTATTTAATGAAACATGCATCAATATATATGATTATTTACTGTAAATTGAAACATATTCAAAGTGTTGCAGTTTTATTTTCCATTAGAGAGACAGCGAGAGAGAGAGAGACATATTGACAATCATCCTTAAACCTCTCATTTTGAGTATACTTTCCTCTGTGCAAGGATGATGACTCATTTTCAGCATGAATTTAGTCGACCTTTTTTACCTCACTCTTTATAGAGGTTCAAATTACTGTGAGTATTCAAAACTATTGTTATAGGCAACAATGTTTTAAATAACCGAGTACCATCCTGTAAAACAAAAAGGAACGAACACAAGAACTGATGAGTTTGCCTTCTTTCACAAGACGTAATTAAGTGTTGGGTACCAAAAAAACAATTCATCCTTCTTACCAGTTCTGGTTTTATTTTGTCATCAGACTTTCACATAGGAAATGCTACTCAAACAAATGAAGTGGGAGTCAGAGTTTTGAGAGTAACTACTAAAGCTATTTTTAGTAGTAATAATAATAATAATGATGATGATGATTTCTGTGCCAAAGTCACAAGTCTCATCTCATGGGATTATCAGAGTTCTTATGTGATATTGGATATTAAATCGTCTAAGTATCACATATTGTTATTTGATATTTGAATATTACATCGTGATAAAATATTTGAATGCCTAAGTAATTTTTGACAGCCAATGAATTACTGTTAAAAGATTATGAAAAATAACAGAACAAAGAGGTTATGGTAAAAACAATAAAAAAAAACAGAGAAAAAGAACAATGCAAAGTGTAGAGTAGAATTCTATTTGACTTGATAAATATCTTACCTGGTCTTCTATTGCTTTGTGATCTGTTTCTTGGAGCCAGGAACCAAGAATGACACTGTCGTCTACATGACACATGGAACGAAGATGAGATGTGGTTGTATTTGCTGGGTTGTCTGTTAAGGTGAACTCGGCAACCAACTCCCGTAAAAGAGTTGTATAGGTTCCTGAAAGAAATGATTTTGAGAAAATGATAGATTTTCAAAAACAAAAATTAATCACATGCAACACTTTAATTAATTTTTCAATTCATAAAAGATTCAGAAAATAACTTTTTGTAAATGGTGTTCCAATAATATGGACTAATTTTAAATGGGAATTAAATTTAAGTGTCTAATGATTTTTTTTCTTTTTCTTTCAAAGTTAACAACTTAAATCTTTGGCAATTTCAACCATGGAAAGATTAACAATCAACCAATATGTTAAATGCAATTCTGTTTGAACGTACATTTTACAAATAGGCTTTGCTAACTTTAACACGTCGTTTGATTGTTAATCTTTCCATGGCTTAAATTGCAAAAGACTGAAGTTGTTAAATCTGAAAGAAAAAGAAAATTATTAGCTGCTTAAACTTAATTCACATTTAAAATCAGTCCAAGTTATTTAAACACCCTTTATATTTCAGATAATAGTGTGTGTGTGTTTATAACTCTAGTCTATATATAAAATTCTGTGGCTTCCATTAGTCTGTCAGTCACACCCTGCAAAATAGTTATACATTGACTGATCAAAGCCAAATTTTGGGGAGAAGTGCAACAGGTAAGGACGTACAAAGTACAGTTGGTTTTACTAAGATGCATAAAAACCACAAAATAGGGTTTTTGTTAAAGTATGTTTCCAAACAGTTAATTCAAATTTTATTGATTGGTGTGCAGAGTTGAACAAAACAAATAGTTTGTAAATCTTGATAAAAAATGTTAGCAACAATTTCAACAATACTAAATGCTGTGAGAATTGCAAAAAAAATTCTAGTATTTTAAACAGTAAAACTAAGTAAAAATAGTTTATAAGTCAGAGAAAATACAAAATCAGTTTTATTCTTTCATTCTGACTGGAAGATGCCAAACTAACAGACAGAGATTAATGGTTCTGATACAAAAGACACAGTTATGTCTTCATTCTGACCTGAGGGTACCAACTTAGCACATGGAGGTGAATTAAACACACAGAGAAATACTTGATAAGGATGATAATATTTTAATAGGTAATAACATTTACAAAAAAGATTGGAAAAAGTCACAAACAAAGAATGAGTGAATCTGATGTAAAAAAAATTACCTTCATATGATTCTGGAGGTAACAAAGAAAGAACATCATAGAGCCTCAGGCGGACCATAGCAGATGGTGCTTTCAAGTGATTGCCATAAATTTTGATCACATTTGGTAGACTGAAAAAAAAAATACAAATGATAAGTAAATCACAATATTTTCCCATGACAATTAAAATGATTTAAAAAAAAAAAAAAAAAAAAGAGAAAGAAAAAAAGTGATTTTCCATGGTACTGTCCCTGCAAAATAAGTCCTCAAGATATGGGATGCAAGTCAAAGTACCCATAACATCAGGGTGGTAGTACCTGTCAGGATACCAGCTATGGGTAATAGTGAATCCTCCACCAAACAAAAATCAAAACACTAAAAAAGTATAATACATTTTTATAGTAAAATTACCAACAATACATTTTTGTAGTAAAATGACCAACAATATTTTATCTGTAGTTAAAGGCATACAACTGTGTTCAAAATATTTAGATTTCAGCATTAAATATAACCCAGAAATGTTGATATGCCACTAAACAAAATTAACCAACTATTGCTTCTCAAGCTCATTCTATCTGGAATGAGAAAACATGGTTTCATCTTGAGTCAAATTGTCTAAGCTAGCAAAATCTAAATTAAATCTTACTCTCAAATGTCTGATGATATTACGTCCCTTTGGCACTAGCTGAGTTTGACTATTCAAGACTGACTGCCAAAATGATTAAATGTCAAATCTAACCAATGTGGACAAATGTCTTTTATATACACTCATCAAAAACATGTAATCATACATATGGATAAATTCATATGACTGTTTTATTTTCACTGGAATTCAGTCGACATTGATATATACCACTAAGAACTTCTGAAGTCAAGCCACACTGTTGAATAGATTATATATATATATATATATATATATATATATATATATATATATATATATATGATAGAGACATGGTACATCTAATACTCACTGGGAGAGCATAATGAGAGCACATTCTAGAGGAGCCAAAAGTCTACGGATGACATCTTCAGTGACCAGTTCTCTGCAATTTTGTAGGAAACTTTGCATTGCTGAAATAAAAAAAGAAAACAATATTAATACAAATGACAAATCAATTACCAATTATGAACCTGAATATAACAAAGAATACTGCCTCCTTCAGTAACCTGAAATATTTTTACTTTTAATCTCACTGCAAAAGCAATCTTTTGCATCAGGCTAAAGAACACAACAAAATGGGTAATAAAACAGATTTATATATGAATTTTTAGATGAATTATCACTGACTGGGTCCCTTTTATACAGACTATCATTGAAAGAAGAATGAGAACAATATACCCTCATATATTGAAGAAAGTGTTTGGCACAAAATTTTGAGAACATCACCAAATAAACAAATACAATAGACATCTTAAAAAGACCCAAGGGCAATGTCTGAAATGTTGAGAGTACAACAACAAAAATGAACATATGGTTCTTAATAGAAAGACATTATTGGGTCAGATATAATAAAGTTCAATACTCATTGAGGTCGAATGAGTTTCATAATTTTCTCAATCACTATCAGATAAGAATGAATGTATTAATTACAAAAAGTCTACTTTATTATTTGATAAATGCTTATTTATATATGCTTATAAGTTTAAAATTTACAGTTACAATTTTCGATCTGCTGAGTTCTATATAAGACCTGAAAGTCAAATAATCAAGTGTATTTTATTATAAAAAAAATGTCCATGCAAAGTTTTTTTTTTTATAAAAACAATGAAAGTATTTTTTCTGTTCTTTTTAAAATCTTCTTACAATTTTTATTTTACTTTTCAGTTTTATTTGTAATTCATCAGTTTGAGAAGCCAACAAACAGTATAAAATTTGAAAAAAAAAAATATATATATATATATATATATATATAACTACAGCATCTTTCTTACTCAATTTTGTAACAGCACTAAGAAATTGATCCATGAATTTGAGAGGGTTAAAATAGACATATGATTATTCAACCAAACATATTCAATGAAACATGCAGCCCTATATAATATATATATATATATATATATATATATATATATATATATATATATATATATATATATTGGATTACTATCCTGACTAAAACTACAGGTGGCATGGTTTTCAAAAAGGATCTCATTTGCCTTTCAAATCAACAACATATGCTATTTCCTTCCTCTGCAAAAATACACAGCATGTAAGTACTTCAGAAACATCAATTGAAGATAGTGTTAAACTATTGATAGCTTCAATGATGAAGTTCATTTTTTCCTCTCAGGTTTTTGTTAATACAAATTAAATAATACCAGAAGTCATAAAATGATAATTCTTTGCACACTCTACAAAATAAAATCATTCATTATTTATGAGATTCCAATCTTGTTCATTGTAAAATCCATCACTTATTTCCGTTTGTACAATCAATTAGTTTCTATCGTATTTCATATCTTTAAAATCTTTCAATAATATTTCTTATTTTTATTTTATTTTTACACAATTGTTTTGCCGATTTTGTGGCTATTAGTGATATTTAATCTTAGTAATCAAAATACTTTTCTTTTCAAGTGTATTATCCAAAAGTTACTAAAAAACAGAAGGGCACTAGTGCTAATGCCAAAGAAAAAGTGGAAATGGAAATGTGGAAAAGCAAGCAAAATATGTAAAAAGAGGAGAAGGAATAGTTACATCAAATATAAGTTGTAGAATATAAGACAAGAGATAATGGTACTTACTTCCAAGCGCTCCAGCTCGTCCTTCCAGAGTGACTTGCCAAGTGAAGGAATCTCCGCGCACTTTTTCAGATTCAAGTTCTTTTGTGGATCGAGGAAATGCATTTCTCCACAACAGCAGCATCCTTGGAAGGTGGTTGCGCACCACAGGAGGACCTAAATATAAAATGATTATATATAAATTCATTGCTATATACAGGAATTCCTTGCTTAATACAAATTCAATTAAGACGTTTTACATTAGTGTGCTAAATTTTTTATATACCAAAATTCAATTAGTGCATGCATAATACTCGATTAGTGCAGTAAAACATTCTTTAATTTAACCATAGTAATTGAAAACCGATTATTTTATAGTTACCAATGTACACATTAGCTACACTAATCGAGAGATTCCTGTATGTGTGTGCACACACACACACACATATGTGTATGTGTGTGTATATATATATATATATATATATATATATATATATATATATATTATTTATTTTTGTTTTTATTACTCTTTTAATTATTTATTATTTTTTCTACATTTATTATTATTTTATTATATTTTTTAATTTTAGATTTTACTGTTTTACATACATTTTCTTAATAATTAAAAAAAACAAAATCTTGAATTTTAAATATTTTTAAGCTATTTTCTTTATATAAACTATATATCTATGGTTATTATTTTTTCTTATAATTTTTGCTAGCATAGATTTGGGAATTTTTTTTAAAAAGGGAGAAAATATATTTTTTAATTTTTGGTTTATAACTAATATTTACTATTTTCTATTTTAATTTTTAAAATTGTTTGAACTCGTGTCTTTAATTTTGTGATTCATTTTCAACCTGACTTGGGATGTTAATATTTTAATAATATAGGTCAAGGTTATATTGACCGTCTCTCGTTAAATTAGACACTCCCACCTCCCCCTCCCATGATACTGGGGGTTGGGTTAACTTAATGTCTTTTTTTGTCTTTTTTTTTTTTTTTTTTTATCAGCTTCCTC